TAGCTATATTCTTTACAATCACTCCTACCCACCCTGGCTGGCTAGTTTTACTAACTATAGCACTCTATGGTCAGTGTTTTGTATCAGAGAAAGTTTTGCCTTCATGCTCTAAATCCAAACTTTCTTTCCGACTTCCTATTTATAGTATCAGATCTAAATTTCTTATTTCCACTATCACATAGACCCCAGAATTGCTAGTGTGCCTCTCCCTCCCTCCCTCCCTCCCACAATGGATATGGCAAATTCTAACTGAAATAGTTGGGAGTGGATGTGAGCAGTCTTACTGTGTATGAAATTCATTGCTTTGCATGTAAGTACTTAGGACTTGATGTTATATAAATGCTCTAAATGTTTTTTGGTTAGGTATGAATATTCTGAGTAGTTTTGTAATTTAATAATAACTCACTATTAAAAATATATATATATATAATTTAATTGATGGTTAAAGAAGAACATACTATAGAAATTATTTCTCCCATCAGTAAGTCATGGATTTTGCTGCTTTTTGTAAGTGTAAATTTTATGTATATTTATAAATATATATACTTATAAAATCTACATACACACACACACACAGATATGAGTCGCATACCTAAAGCACACACTGACATAATTACTTAACATCGGCACCCCTGATTATTTTGAACTTTGGTTTTGTCATTTTTGAAAATGGAAGATTAAGTAGTAGGTTAAGCCATCAGACAGAAAGTCTGTGGCTGTATGACTATTTGATGAACTCTGAATGAGTCACGTGCAGAAATTCAAGGTTAAGAGTGTTCTGCTCTGGAGAGAACATTATTCCGTTCTCAAGGAATATTTCTAAATACTGATTTACAAAGTAGCCTCTTATTGTAAAGAGTCTCTTTCTGCAGTATTCAAAATAAAGTGAAGAATTTGAAGTTTCTTTTAAGATTTTCTTGCTTGACTGCTTTCAGAGAGCCCAGATTTGAGCCTGGACCGACCTAAATGGTTCCTTTGGAATTTATTAGGCATTAAAAATAATGCCTATTTTGTTCATTAGATTCCACATATAAGGGAGATCATGTGATACTTGTCTTTCTCTGACTGGCTTTATTTTGCTTAGCACAATACTCTGGGGAAGAGATTAACCAAAGAATTTATATGCATAATCCCAAGGACACAGGCAATAGTGCCGTGAAGGCCTGGGGGGTGGGAGCAGAGTGGAGGGGGTCAATGGGGGGAAAAGGGGGAGCATCTGTAATATTTTCAACAATAAAGATAAATTTAAAAGAAAAAATACACACACACACACACACGCCCAACTTAGTGAGCGCCAATTGGCTAGACACTGTGCTAGGCACTTTATATACATTATCTCTTATACACTAAGCTTTAGCTGACAACCATTGATTTAGAATTCCTGCTTATCTGTATAAATTGTTAAACATTTCCAAGTTTACATTTTAATTTATCTTACTTTCTCAGTCTCTGTTAACAAATACTCTTTTAACAAGTAGGTTACTGGAGTATATTTTCAAACTCTCAAATTTGTACTTTTATGAATGCACGGCTATGTTGTGAATAGAACCAAGTAATATTTAGTGTTTGCTCTGTATTTCAATTCTAAGTTCTAAAGATAAACTAATAGAAATATGCATCAAAAAGGGAGAGTTTTGCAAGCTTTGATGATCACTTTATCTTGTTTAAGTCACTGATCTTCATTATTTAATACCTTACTCAGTATCTAATAGCTACTCTGTACTCAGTGAATATTTTTAATTTATTGACTTTAGTGACATATAAGAAATTCTGTACAAAGAAATATTAATTGCTCTGAAATCAGAATAATTTGTTAAAATGTAACTTAAAACTGTATAAGTTAAAATTGCATATTGTGAAATATGTGGTACTAGATATAAGCAGAGTTCCATATGCAAAGGGCATAGATTTATATCTTATTAATTTCCCACCCCCATGGAGGCTCAAAATGCTTTGCTCAAATTCAGAATATCAGTATTTCCTGAAGTGCGACATTCTGATGTATGAAGCAACACTGTTTGTAAACAGTAACAACAAAACAACTCTTTTAACCTGTAGAAATGTCTATACATTTTCTATGTATTTTGACATTTATTACTTTCAAGATAATTTTATAATAAGGAAAATAGTAATAAACATGCATTCATGTCTTGAATGCAATATTTTCTGTTACGAAATGGCAGAATGGAACAGCTATTTCCTCAAGGAGCATATTTTAATCTTCTTTACAGACGAAACACGTTATATTTGCTGGCTTTGATTCTGCACTATTTGCAAATAATATTCTTACTGCTGAGCATGTACAGATTGGAACAAGAAAACTGGTTCAGGACTTACCTAAATTGTAAAGTCAGAAATGTTAGTCACAGATCACTTTTAAGAGGTGGCCTCAATTTTCTGCTTCAGTATCAGCACTGTCGATTTCAAGTGACTCGACATTTCACTCAGACTCATGCATTGCTCTACCGTAGTGTCACAGGTCATGTTCTTTGGGAAATGGACTTGGGTTTTATCACGGGTGCTCTTGAGAACATCTGTAAGGAGTGAGGGATACAGGACAGGGCAGAGGGAGAAGTTGAGCCATGACGCAATCCCAGCAGAGACCTTAGTCTCTTCTACATCTTACGAGGAGCCTTAAAACTGAAATGCAGTTTCAGAGTTGCTCAGCCTTGAGGCAAGGGGGAGAACCCATTAAACCCCTGCATTAGTAAGTCACTGTCTGGGGCTACCAAGGGCTCCACTTGGGAGGCAGTGTGACCTTGGGCGAAGCAGCTCCTTTTGGCCCAGGGCAGTTTGTGAAGAGTATCTCAGGTGTGAGTCCTTGGCTACCAGCACGCCCAGCAGCTGGGAGGAGTCCTCAGCCCTGCACGGGGCTGTGGGGAGCACCCCACAGCATCCACTACACCTGAATAATTTGCATAGCAAGTGGCCAAATAAATAGCATTCTTGTTTCTGTTGGAGCAACATAAATAGCTAAAGAGTTGATCAATGTATTTCTCTCTTTGTGATGTTACATTAGCCCTTACCCAACTTCTGAGCTTTTAGGATCCAATAAGATAATGAATACGTTTTGCACAGCGTGACACAAATAAAAATAATTTTAAGTGATGAATCAAGGCTCGCTATTATTTTTGGACATGTGAGTGAAACCATACCACCGATTTCAACCAAAACTTTTTTTTTTACTTCTGAGCTTTGTAAAGAGGCACCGACCACACATTTACTTTGGTTCTCGAACTTTTCATCAAAAGAGAAATTCTGAGCAATACTAAACTCACGACAGGCCCATCACCAGAGTTTTATGGATGCCCCCTCCAAGAAAGTCTACACACCCACACTTACTGTACTACCAGGTGGGCAATAAAATAAGTTTACGGTGCGGTCTGGTGAATGTAGACTTGTTATATTTTGCTTTTATCCCTGTTTGTTTTAATATCTGCCTTCTATTTCCTGACTTGCACTACTTTTTATTTTAATGGGTTTTCTGATTCGAACTTGCTATTGTTGTCCTTGCTGTTACTGAGAAACCTTTCAAGAGAGAATTTAAAGGAGTTGGGAAGACACTGTTTTTGTTAATTTGGCTCCAGCTGATTTTATACCTGGAAGCAGGAGACTCGATGGTTTTTCAGCACGGTTAATTAAATCTTGTGCTGACGGCTTCTGTTATAGGTATTAAGTCACCCACCTTGTTAGCAGACCCTCTGGTCCAGAGGGTCGGCTTCGCCGTTGGGGAATCATTTTTAGCATGCTCCCCTTGTGTTCAGGTGGTCGATGGGGGCCGCGTGGTGGTCTCTGCACAGTTGGCAGAGCTGACGGTGAGATCTGTCAAGGTCATTCGTGTGGGGTCTCACCCTACTCTGTTTTACAAACAAGGTGATCGGCGAGTAAATGGCACAGGCATGAACGTCTCTTCTCTTTTCTGTCTCTTAGGATTCTTTTCTGTGAGAAAGCAAAAAAAAAATCCCACTGCATTTTGTTTTCCTAATGCCTCTTGGATTCTCACCAGCAGGTTTTTACAGTCTGTTGCTTGCCTCTCAGATTAGAAGAATGCTCGCATATTTTAAGTTCCCTAGGATTCAGCAGCCTTTAATTAACATAAAATTGATGTTTTGGAATGGTACCAAAATATGGGAGATGGAACTCAAGGCTTCCATCCTTCCAGACTTTGAGTGGGGTGGAGTTCTAGAAGGGCGGGGAGGAGGGGAGGGCCAAAGTGTGTGCTCTGTTGCGAACAGCTGGTTGCCTGCCTACTGTACGCAAAGGGGGCGCCTTGTTGACATAAGGTCCCGCTGCCTGCTCGTCGGTGACCTTCTACAGTCCACCTGCTTGCGACTGGGAAGAAGGCAGGTGGTCGCTGATGGCTCAGAGCCGCGGGGTTGCTGAATCGCTGGGGATTGCTCTTCTCGTAGCTGGGGTCGCTGGTTTTCATCTTCCTGTTAGTTGCCTCCCGGGCAGTGAGGTACAGCTGCCTGGATGTGGTTAAGTTTCTTTTTTTCCATGCCAGGTTCACGTCGTGTTGCTGGCAGAGTTTTGGATGTGATGGAAAAGAGCAGTTTTGTGAAATAATCAGTCAGACCGGAGGCCTGTTCTGAGCAGCAGTTAGTCTGCAAAGAGGGATGGGGGTCGGCGGAGGGACGTTCCTTTCGAATCAAGGGACTCTGCTGGCGGAGGGGCTGCTGACCCAGCCCGAGAGCTCTAGGCAGGAAATGGATATATTGGGAAGCACGAGATGTTTGAAGTGTCACCTGGTGCTTCCATAGCAGGTAGTTATAATCCAAGGAGGAAAGGGAAGCAGCTCAGCCAGTTTCCTCTAACTAATGGCAGATCAGCTCATTGGCCAGTTCCCAGTCGAGGTCAGTTCACTTTGTGGCTTGGTTTTTCTGGTGACCCGCCAAGCTGGCCTTTTGGTCTCACAAGAGGGCCTTGGTGTTGTTTGTCTGTTGTTGTTTTTGAGATGTGTTGGATTTCCCTGATTGCGCCCTTTGCTCTCTTCCCTGCAGGTGGCACATGCCAGAGCCCCGCTCTCCCAGCCCTGGTTCGCCCGCCAGCCCCCCCTCTGACGCCGTCGCTGGATATTAAACCATTTCTCCCCTTCCCCCTCGACACTGCCGCCGCAGTCAACCTCTTCCCCAATTTCAATGCGGTAAGTCCCGCCCGAGGCCTGCCTAGGCCAGAGCCGGTGCTGGGGAACCACAGGGGCCAGGGAGGAGGCGCTCGCCGCCTGTATTTTGCTGGTTTTTTCATTCTGTGATCCTCTGAAAGCCACGGTGAAGTTAGTTGCCTTCCTGGTTATGTGAGGTCCCTGCAGCCAGGCTCCTTCAAGGAAGAATGAAGAGCGAGTCAATGGATTGGGTTGATCATGAGTTCATCTCTCCCCTTTAGTGTCTTTTTTGGGTAACACGAACAACTTTATTATTTTGCTAGAATATATCTTAATCAAAATGGAATGAATTTGTCAGAGAGAACATCAGAATTCAAGTAGAATTCAGGTCTAAAATCTTAAACGTGTTTTTTCTGTATGGACCCTCTATTTTAATTTTAAAATCTGATACTTCTTACCTAATTTAAAAAAGAGAACCCTGATGTATTCCATGTATAGAGCAGGTTTTGCCTCCTTAACTCGAAACAGCTCAGGATTCTGGTAGCATCAGTTCTATTTTTCTTCGTTTTCCTGCTCAGCCACAGTTGATCCAGTTGTCTTAAATTACCATGTTTGGGGGGAGCTTTGTCAATATCCTTCGCAGCACAAGTTCAGTTACTTCCTTGCTTCTACTTTCACTCTAAAGCATGTCTTTTTAAGTCGGCAGATTCCTCCTATTCCTCATCATCTTTTTTGTGTGAGCAGTGAGCATATTCTTAGGATAGAAATAGAAATAAGAGTTGAAAAGGTTAGAATCCAGTAAGTGCCTTTTTTTTTTTTTGTCTAATATCATCTGAGGCAGCTTTCAGCAGTTGTTAGAATGCAGGTCTGAGCTTATCAATGACAGGACGTGTCAGCACAAGGAAAGCAGAGGATTAAGCTGGGAGGTCGCTGAATGCCCAGTGATAGAAATAATACAGATTTCTTGGTGCAATATTTTGCATCCATGATGGATATATTTTTTTAAATCTGCCCTAAATTAGAGCACTCTCCTTTAGCAGACAGTAGTGGGTCCTATATTCTTTAATAAAAGTTTATCATGGGTACTTTGGACATGCCAGTGAGATGGTACCCTATGTGCTAATCCTTGCTTAAGGGCAAGGGGGAATCACAATGATTGCCTTGGTTTTTTGGGGGTGAGGGATTTTCCCATGGGAATCTTATTTTGAAATCGATGGAGCATAAATAGAATAGCATGAAGAACTCACATATCTAAAGTAGAGGTTCCTAATCCTAGGTGTTTCAGTGAAAGTAGATAACGAATTGCCTGGCATCCAATTCCCTGATTCTTAAATGACCACACTGAAGTCCCCTGGGTTCCCTTGCTCTGAGCATCTTGTCTGCTCTTCTGTTAAGTGGCTTCCTGGCACAGTCTTGCTTCCCAGGCCCCCATCGATGATCCATCAAGGTGCTTTACCTGGCTGGCCTCTCAGACCACTCGGCATCCTGTCACTCAGGTCTCATGTCAGCTTTAGAGCAGTTGAAGTAAAATTCCTGGAAGTCTGTAAAAGGCTGCGTTTAAAACTTCTGATTTGCCCTTTGGGAAACATTAAAAGCAAAATGATTAATTTAACTGAATACTGTTTGTCATAAAGCAGGGATGAGTGATATGCTGAGTTATATGACACTGAGCAAACCTCTTTACCTCTTTTGCTACTGCGGCCTCCCTCCTCTTTAAAATAAAGGGAGTGGACCTGATGATCTCTTCCTTTGGGGGTTATACCATTCACATCTCTGAGCTTTTGTGGGCAAAGGCAGAGTTCTGTGGTGATCAAGCTGGATTCTGTAGCTAGACCAGTTCCAACAGGAGCTGTTCCTTACCATTAATCAATATGACCTTGGTAAGTCACATGACTCCCATGAATCTCAATATTTTCACCTGCAAAATGGGGCTGATAATTAACCTGCTTTATAGGTGTGTGATACGCTTATGTGGGTTAAATCATTTAGGGCAGGGCTCAGCATACAACAAACGCTATTTGAGTGATAGGTACCGTAGCCTATAAACCCTTGTCATTTTGAATGTGGAAGTTCATTGACTGATTACAAAAGTTTGACTTCATTCTTTTCTTGTTTCCCTTCATATAATGGATTTTGACTTTTGTTGGCATTTGTTACATTTAAGGCAAGAGGCTCTGTTGTTACACATATTGGTTATTTCCTTCCAGTGCTATTCTGGGTGCAGCCAGTCATGGGTTGAGCTCCTTGCTTCCAGCGGAGGGGAATGGTTGGAAAGCCATAATTAGGTGGCTTCAGGCTCAGAATTAAGGCATAAAGCACCTTTCTAAGTAATAGCCNGGGTTGAGCTCCTTGCTTCCAGCGGAGGGGAATGGTTGGAAAGCCATAATTAGGTGGCTTCAGGCTCAGAATTAAGGCAGAAAGCACCTTTCTAAGTAATAGCCTGAGTTCTTGTGTGAATCTCAATCCACAAATTCAGGGGGTATGGAACATAATTTTTTTTTTTTTTAAATATCTGTGAGTTGATTTTATTTCTGTTGCAAGAGCTCATTCCATCAGACTGGAGAGAAATGCAATTTAATTCTGATTCAGGGTGCGCTAAGGTTCAAGTATCTATAGCTTATTCATCTGGTTTTTGGTAGGAGACTTCCCCTGGTCATCAAGTTCCTTACCCACATAGGCATTCATACGGTGGTCAGTACCTGGTTAGCATGGCCTTCAGGTCCCCAGCTCTCAACTTTGGCACAGAAGCTTTGTGAGACGGCCAGTTGTCTCTCCTGCCCAGATGTGCCATACTGCTTCACTTCTTTGCCAAGAAAATGGTGAACCACTTTGTCACCCAACACCCTTCCTCCATCCGACCTTCATGTAACAGTGCCTGTGACAATCAGAGACTATCTGCCTATGATATTCCTCCTCTGAGGATATGAGTATGGAATTGCCTGTCCATGTGGGGAAGGGTGAAGCAGAAGAGTTTAGGCAATTTAGAAATATATATGCCTGTAAAATAAAATAAAATACGCAAAAATATAAGTGAACATCTCTGATTGTTATCCGTCCACAAGCGTATCAGCCATTGGGGTTGGCTGTGAGTCAGGAAGGACGACAAAACATCTGTAAAAATAAGCACAGTTCTGGGGGAAAGGAAAACAGTTGTAAGATCTGAGCTCAAATGTGGATATAAAACAAAGATGCTTAATAAAACCATTAGGATCTCGTAGTCTACCTAAAGCCAGCTTTTAAGGAATAGCAACCGAAGCTGTTCTCTGGACCCTCTCTCCTTTGCTTTCAAAAATTGTTCTTGACGTTGGTCTCTGTGGCTCTATATTTTGTTACCTGCTCCAGGTATGGAGATTTCTCCCAACCTCAGCCAGCGATGGACTTATAGAAACAGTGGGTTAAGCACACTTCCATTTGTTTGATTCCAAAAGATATTAATTCAATTCAGTTTATACATTACTAACTGCTCTAAGTTTTTACAACTGCTGCTGTCACTAAAATAGGTAGTCAACCAGGTTGAAATTATGGCTCGAAAAATAAGCCTGTCTTTCTAAGTCACACCTGGTAGAGGGTGTGGGGATTTTCGTGGGGAAAAATGCCTTAGTAAATAAGGTATTGACTGCTGAGTCTTTGTCCTTTAAAGACAGATGTCACGGACTGCTAGCTGGTTCTGTGCATCGAGTGTAGCATATTTATAGAGCAAAAGCCTCTTCAGAAACATCTGCTTATGAAATCTTTCATTATATGTTTTCCCACAGAAACAAACATATAAGCCTTGGGCTGAGCCCTGCAGTTCCTGTGAAACCCAGAGTTTGTAAAAGTCACGGCCACTTCTAATGACCCCAAAACACCAAATGACTTAAATACAGAATATCTAGGCTTGAAAATAAAAAGCTAACCAGATGGACAATACATGAATATTTTTCTGTTTTGATACTTGTTTACTCTGAACAGGTAACCCATTTTTCCTGTGATTCAAATGTAAAGAGAACAAATCATTTTCCCTTACTGCTCTTCCCCTGCCACTCAGTTCTCCTCTCTTAAGTGACAAAGGGGTAAATTGCTTTTGTATCTGTCCTTCCAGACATATTTTGATGTATGAATGTCTTCTCACTAAAGAGTGAGGCATAAGACATTATATATTTATTTTTCTTTATCGGTCAATATCATAATGAGCTGAAGCTTTGCTCTTGAAAAAAATATATATTTGACCTGTTTCCTACTCTGACTTTCTTACTAACTGTGGTTCTGGTGCAAATAACGGGACTTGAACAAGAGAATGTAAGCTCATAGCAGGTGTTTTTTTTTTTGTGGTTTTTTTTGGAGATGCCTGCTCAGACTTAGATGTAGACATTTTAGAAATGAAAGGAGCTTTTTAGGGTTCATTTGTGTCTACTCCAACACACTTATTTTACTGATAAGCCTAGAACGATTAAGAGATTTCCAGATTCACGGTTAGTAAGCTCAGAACTGAGAGAAAACTGATCCCTAACTTTAGTTTCTCATGAGAACGCTAACCACTGAAGCATCGTGTTATGGGTTCACTTGTATTTCTCCAAAGTTTAATCACCCACGTTGCCTTAGAGTGTGACCTTATTTAGAAATGGGGTCACTGAAGATGTAATTAGTTAAAATAAGATTGTTATAGTGAGTCCCAACCATTATGAATGGTAGACTTATAAAAAGGGAAAATTGAGACAGGAGACACACATAGGTGGGAGGTGATGTAAAGAGACATACAAGATACAAGCCACAGTTCTTTCTTAGCTTCAACAGATGCTCTCTAAAGTTGCTACAAAATTTTCTAAATGCTGCTTCCTCTCAATTTCTGTCTCTGTGAGAAATAGCATTAACATTGTTCTCTGCCTTAGTATTGGGGGGTAGGGAGGGAGGGGAAGACAATCTTCCTCAGTTGTAATTTCTTTAATCAGCTGTCATTGGCACCTTGTAATCACAAATTAATTAAATAATTTAATTAATTCCATAGAAGACTTAACTCCAAGAAAGTAAGCTCTTTCTTGAATAATATTCTGGCTACGATTGGA